TAACTGTTTTACAGCACATGAGGGTCTGTGTCCAGGAGTAGGGTATTTCAGCTATATTGTATTCTCCATGGAAGAACTGTTTTACAGCACACGAGGGTCTGTGTCCAGGAGTAGGGTATTTCAGCTATATTGTATTCTCCATTGAATAACTGTTTTACAGCACATGAGGGTCTGTGTCCAGGAGTAGAGTATTTCAGCTATATTGTATTCTCCATGGAACAACTGTTTTACATCACATGAGGGTCTGTGTCCAGGGGTAGGGTATTTCAGCTATATTGTATTCTCCATGGAATAACTGTTTTACATCACATGAGGGTCTGTGTCCAGGAGTAGAGTATTTCAGCTGTATTGTATTCTCCATGGAATAACTGTTTTACATCACATGAGGGTCTGTGTCCAGGGTAGGGTATTTCAGCTATATTGTATTCTCCATGGAGTAACTGTTTTACATCACATGAGGGTCTGTGTCTAGGAGTAGAGTATTTCAGCTATATTGTATTCTCCATGGAATAACTGTTTTACAGCACACGAGGGTCTGTGTCCAGGAGTAGAGTATTTCAGCTATATTGTATTCTCCATGGAATAACTGTTTTACAGCACACGAGGGTCTGTGTCAGGAGTAGGGTATTTCAGCTATATTGTATTCTCCATGGAATAACTGTTTTACATCACACGAGGGTATGTGTCCAGGGGTAGGATATTTCAGTTATATTGTATTCTCCATGGAATAACTGTTTTACATCACATGAGGGTCTGTGTCCAGGAGTAGAGTATTTCAGCTATATTGTATTCTACATGGAATAACTGTTTTACATCACACGAGGGTCTGTGTCCAGGAGTAGAGTATTTCAGCTATATTGTATTCTCCATGGAATAACTGTTTTACATCACATGAGGGTCTGTGTCCAGGAGTAGAGTATTTCAGCTATATTGTATTCTCCATGGAATAACTGTTTTACAGCACATGAGGGTCTGTGTCCAGGAGTAGAGTATTTCAGCTATATTGTATTCTCCATGGAATAACTGTTTTACAGCACATGAGGGTCTGTGTCCAGGAGTAGAGTATTTCAGCTATATTGTATTCTCCATGGAATAACTGTTTTACAGCACATGAGGGTCTGTGTCCAGGAGTAGAGTATTTCAGCTATATTGTATTCTCCATGGAATAACTGTTTTACAGCACATGAGGGTCTGTGTCCAGGAGTAGAGTATTTCAGCTATATTGTATTCTCCATGGAATAACTGTTTTACAGCACATGAGGGTCTGTGTCCAGGAGTAGGGTATTTCAGCTATATTGTATTCTCCATGGAATAACTGTTTTACAGCACATGAGGGTCTGTGTCCAAACTGCATGCAAATTTAATCATTTTCAAAGATGTCAGAATTAAGACGAACCTTGTGTTTTATTGGATATTGGTTTAAATGAAAGGAGAACCCTGCTGTATAAGAGATGGTTGACATTATCTGATCAAACTTCTTGCCATGTAATATTCAGTTGTCTGTCAAGTTGAAAGAAACTGTTTCCCCAATTGTTTATTGACGTGGGCGATCCTACTTGGTAGTCGTAAAAGTGAGATGTCACCAAGGATACTTTAGATCATAGCAGACGTACTTTAAACAGTGACGTAACTCAAACAGTGTACTTTTGGCAGAATAAAGTACATGCAGTGCCTTTCATTCTTTTGGCAAAGCATCTTAGAATAATACATCTGTGTTATCCTTAATGCAATGCTGTAAATATTGAACTGAACAAGAAATTCTAGGGTTCTAGTTGGAAGCATAGTTTCTGTAGTAGCTGCAGCTGATGTTGTTGTAGCAGCTGTAGTAATTTCTATAGCTGCTGTGCCTGTAGTTGCTATGCTTGTAGTTGAAGCAGTTGCTGTTCTTGTAGTTGCTACAGTTGAGTAGTTCAGATATACTTGCTGTAGTTGTAGCAGCTGCAGTAGGTAGATATGTAATGGTAATGAAGTCCACATGCTGCTGAAATAAAATGCAATATATCTACCTCCATTTTTAACTACATAAAATTTACGACAGGTTAAACCATCATCGCCAGCCACTTGGGCTAGAAGTAGTACCAATTTCTTTAAATATAGCCTTTTAACTGGCGCTGTATGAAAACAGACAAATTGCCTCATTAGGCATCATACATGCCAATCATTCTGAGATGAAAGCTGCTCCTGGCTGGCAGTGGGTGGTCACAGGTTGCGGTGCATGTAGTGGAACAGCTTCCTGGAGCTGCCAAGGTAAATACCTGTACAACTCCGGACAGATTGTGCAGCCATTGTACATGTACAGGCTGTAGTCAATTACAATCACCATTCAAGGAAGAAGTAATTTTATTGATGCCGGAAATTGTAAGTGTAGACCATGAAGGAAAAATGTCATCAAAGAAAATACCCATATTTGTTAGTGATGAAATAGGCAATAGTTGTCTTACTTTAACAGAAATATTAGAGTTCACGTTTTTAACAGTCGAAAAGTCTTATAAGGGCATGCAAAGACTATTTTTATGTACATGATGAAGGACATTTTTCCCTATTTCACTGACTGTAAGCTAATGGCTGACTGTTGAAGGTGTCACTACTTAGCTGCAAGACTGCTGATGCAGGAGTAAGCAATGTTCTCACTTACTTATTTACTTGATATAATTGGTGACATACAGATTTGTCAGCCACTTGTGAATAAAAATTGAGATTTTCTGAACAGATTTTCAGTAATTCCTAACAACTATGTAATTATTCTTTGTGTGTATCCATGAATCCAACAGTTTTGTTCTCATCGTCATCACTGTCCTCCAGTGAAATCAACATAGTTAGAGGACATTGTGCAGGGATATTCCTATAATGAAGGCTGTTCTTGCTGCAGGCAGTTTCACTCACCTACAGAGTATGCCCATAGAATAACTACTTCCGCAAAACTTTCCAAAGCCAATTTCCTTTATTCTGTTGAAGGCCTGGCTTAGCTCCGATTTTTCCACAGGGTAGGTGCTGATCAGAGTAATTATTATCTCGTCTTTGTCTGGGAAGAAGGTTTATTTTGTCCTCTTCTGCTAACTTGGAATAAGTTCATCCAATACAATCTTGGCAATATTTACCAGACCTGGTCAGGTAGAGGTGATGCTGGGCTCTCCAATCACCATGTAACGGTGCTGTGGGAATAATCCCCTGCTGTAGACTGCATTAGACTATAGCGGTGGCAGTGAGGAGAAGAGCACACAATGCAAGGAGAGTTTAGTCCACAAAATTGGCATCTTCTTTTAGGAATCATGGGTTAATTAAGTTTGATTATTTCAAGGCAGGAATTCTCTCCAGAACAGGTTGAAATGGTGGAATGAAAATGGTCCGTCTACACTCATCTAATTGTACGTTGATGTTGCAGGTTTGATTCAGGTGCTTTCAGTGTTTGAGAACATAAATGTAGTTTTTAGCTCATCAAGTGAAACATCAAAGAGTTTTTGTCATGGCGTGTTTTCTGTTCATCTGTTGTCTGTTTTTGACTAATCTGAAGAATTGTGGTCTGGCTGACTGGCACCAAGGTAGGATTAATTCATGGCAATAGGAAAATATAATATGTTTTTGATTCTCAGAAGGATAATATTGGACCAATACAGCTACGTTGATGTTGCATTTTTACATTCCTGCTCAGCAGTACAAGGTGCAGGGAGGAAGGGCTGATTCATAAAATTGTCATTATGTAGGCACTTTCATATTGGCCATGGCATGATCCTCCTCAGTTCTGTCATAGTCAGACTAGTGCCTGGCGCCAGCAGCAGCCTGTATGACCTTGGCGTTATACAATGGTCAGTGAATATGAATACTTCCAATATGGCTGACTGACTGACTGAGTATGGTTTGACGCTGCTTTTAGCAATATTCCAGCAATATCACAGCGGGGTACACCAGAAATGGGCTTCACAAATTGTACCCATGTTGGGAAATCAAACCTGGGCCTTCGGCGTGGGGAGCGAACGCTTTAACCACTGGGCTACCCCACCGCCCCACTTCAATATGGATGGATGGATGGGTGTTGTGTCTCTATTTAAAAGGAACTAACAAGAAATATATACAACAATGTTGAATTCCACCATGTTGTGTGGATTTATTGAAACTGCAAACTTTGATACAGCAGGAGCCACAGTTTTCACTTGTCTGTTGAAATCTGGTGATACACTTAATAATGGTTGTTTGGGGCACTGTTTAGGGATGTGGGGTGGCCCAGTGGTCAAGGTGATTCCCTATGTGGGTAGTGTGGGCAGCCCATGTGTGGTGTTTGCCTGTGTGAGATAGCTGGAATATTGGTCTAGGTGGCATAAATAAACATTCACTCGCTCAACCACACATCTACCCAACCACTCACTCACCCCCCTACCCGCAGTCTCCAGCTCCTCAACAAGAGGACACACCCATTCATGGACCAGTCTCCCTTCCGGCTGTCTCCAGCTCCTCAACAAGAGGACACACAGCCATTCATGGACCAGTCTCCCTTCCCCTTGTCTCCAGCTCCTCAACAAGAGGACACACCCATTCATGGACCAGTCTCCCTTCCCCCTGTGTCCAGCTCCTCAACAAGAGGACACAGCCATTCATGGACCAGTCTCCCTTCCCCCTGACTCCAGCTCCTCAACAAGAGGACACACACCCATTCATGGACCAGTCTCCCTTCCCCTGTGTCCAGCTCCTCAACAAGAGGACACACCCATTCATGGACCAGTCTCCCTTCCCCTGTCTCCAGCTCCTCAACAAGAGGACACACCCATTCATGGACCAGTCTCCCTTCCCCTGTCTCCAGCTCCTCAACAAGAGGACACACAGCCATTCATGGACCAGTCTCCCTTCCCCCTGTCTCCAGCTCCTCAACAAGAGGACACACAGCCATTCATGGACCAGTCTCCCTTCCCCCTGTCTCCAGCTCCTCAACAAGAGGACACACAGCCATTCATGGACCAGTCTCCCTTCCCCTGTCTCCAGCTCCTCAACAAGAGGACACACAGCCATTCATGGACCAGTCTCCCTTCCCCCTGTCTCCAGCTCCTCAACAAGAGGACACACAGCCATTCATGGACCAGTCTCCCTTCCCCCTGTCTCCAGCTCCTCAACAAGAGGACACAGCCATTCATGGACCAGTCTCCCTTCCCCTGTCTCCAGCTCCTCAACAAGAGGACACAGCCATTCATGGACCAGTCTCCCTTCCCCCTGTCTCCAGCTCCTCAACAAGAGACACACAGCCATTCATGGACCAGTCTCCCTTCCCCTGTCTCCAGCTCCTCAACAAGAGGACACACAGCCATTCATGGACCAGTCTCCCTTCCCCCTGTCTCCAGCTCCTCAACAAGAGGACACAGCCATTCATGGACCAGTCTCCCTTCCCCCTGTCTCCAGCTCCTCAACAAGAGGACACACAGCCATTCATGGACCAGTCTCCCTTCCCCCTGTCTCCAGCTCCTCAACAAGAAGACACACAGCCATTCATGGACCAGTCTCCCTTCCCCTGTCTCCAGCTCCTCAACAAGAGACACAGCCATTCATGGACCAGTCTCCCTTCCCGGTGTCTCCAGCTCCTCAACAAGAAGACACACTCATTCATGGACCAGTCTCCTCAACAAGAGGCCATACTGTGTTGCTAATCCAGGACAAGGTGGTTCAGAAGCCCCCTGCCAAAGAATGACAGTGTTGGGGCACACGGACCTGTGGTGATGGAGGAAATTCAATTTGTACATGTGTTGAAATCCTGTCTGCAGTTATTGATTTGTGCTACAGTTGCTGGCAAGTCAAACTGTAAGTTGCTGCCATGTAGATGGCACAGGGAACATAAAAAACAAATTGTATTAAAATTACTGGTACACCTGGCCAAGTTGCCATGCTTGACGATTGTATAAAGTATGAAGCCACTGCTGAAGGAGCCAGAGGGGTGGCGCTGAGGTGTCCATTTTATTGCAGGCATTCTCGGGGCAAACTGTTCAGACTGGTTGTTGAAAATAAGCCCTGTTCCATAGCAATCCATAAGAGGCAGAGGCAGACACTGATGGCTAAACAAATCAAGGGACCACAATTCAATATCATGTAGACGATGAAATGTTTATTTGATAAATGGTATCCCAGTTCATCATGGTGTCCACAGACCGCAGATGCCCTGAAACCCCCGTAATGAGAACGTGTCTATCTACCCCTCGCAGATTGAATAATGAAACAATGAATGCTAGCGGCTACAGTGGAACTGCTTACAATAAACGGTGCAATGGAGGATAGGAGGGGAAATTCTGTCACAAGCGTATTGATACCTAACTTGTTTTGACTGGTTAATGGCATGACAGTGAGGCTGGATGTCTAGACGAAATGTTTAATTGCGAAGTGACTCTCAGGATGGAGTTTGTCTGGGAGGTGACTGTGTCCTGTCCGGAGACAAGTCTCGTGAGACATCCTGGTTTGCAAGAACGTGGAGATATATGGAGAAGTGATGAAGCATGACTGTGTGGTGCCAGCACCTCCCTGTATGCGTTGATTGGACACACTTATAGGTTAAACCAAACCCCGCAGGTGTTTACAGCTGACAGTGAAATATTGTTAACTAAAGTTCTGGGAATGATGGGGTGTAACGTGACATGAATACTACCAACACAGTTGATGGTCTCCATGAACATGATTTACTGAATACTGACTAATGACTTTCTTTATCTTTCATTTTATCCAAAACTCACCTTGTTCAAAGACAAGCCCCTAAGAGCGAGTGAGTGAGTGAGTATGGGTTTATGCCGCTTTTAGCAATATTCCAGCAATAGCACGGCGGGGGCAGGAATGGACTTCACACATTGTACCTATGTGGGAATCGAACCCGGATCTTCTGCATGATGAGCAGATGCTTTAACATTTTACCATGAAAATAATCTGTTCATCAAAACCTGAGAATCTTAAGGTAACATCCAGGACAGTAGTACACATATTAGGGGAGGTTCATGAAAAAAGAACATATGATATTATCTGTACTACTTTTTCATTTTTCTTTTTGCAGAGGGTCATGAAATAACGTATGAAGAGCATTTGAGAAGATTTATTGGTTAGTTTATCAAAATATTCCAAGACATGTACTACTTAAGAGATTCTTCGTGGACAAGTGCAGGTTATCTGTCTGTCATATATCCCTTTAAGGACTGAGCCTTTTATGAGGGATTTATGGTATTCATTCATGAGTCAGTACATGAGAGTCAGTACATGAGAGTCAGTACATGAGAGTCAGTACATGAGAGTCACCAGATTAGACAGTACAGTTATTCACTCAAGGGTGATTGTCTGATGTCAGGAAAACAGCTACATTCTAGCTACATTACTACACGAACAAAACGTGGCGTGACCTTCTCCAGGAAAACTTGCCAAAATGTAAAGGAATAAAGAATGAACACTTTTTACATTTTCTATGTATCCAAAGTAATTTAACCGCAATGATTAACAGATGAACTCCTTGTTATGCATGGTATTGCAATCAGCACATTTACTGAATATCCGTGTAATCAAGTTCCACATATGGTCACATCCTAGTTTGAACACTTGCTTCTTGATGTATCATCTGCACACCACTTGTTCTGGCTGATACATACCTGGCAGCTTAGCGTGACGTAGAATGTTATAAGTTATATAGTCTTCTTCAGTCTTGGCATCAGAGCACCAAACTGGGGAGATTTCTTGTGTGGTACTTGTAAGTTATTTCTGATTTGTACATACCTGCCACTGGAGCGTGTTGTAGGATGTTATAAGTGCATGTTAAGTTTGCAATACCTGCTTTTTTTTTGGTATTGGAATCCATGCAAACAAGTGGTGGTATTTCTCATGTTATGATGGTAGCTGATAGACATGGTCTTGATGCTTCCAGTGGATGGATCCTCATGGATGGAGGCTCTCAGTGGTTCATGGGGACATGCCAGCAACATTAGGATTAATGGTGTAAGACTGTTATCCATCATCTAACACCAGTAAATAATGAACTCTGGAGACACTGAGTCACGTCAGCTCCCGTCTGTTTCATCATCACACCATGTACAGCTGTTCCATGACTTGATACTACTGTGCAAACTTATTCATGAGTCCATTCCAAGATCTCTAGATCTCATTTCATTAGCATCAAGCTCCTTACTCCAACAGTCCATTCACAGATCTCTTGTTCTAACAGTCCATTCACAGATCTGTAGATCTCACAGCTCCATACAGTGTTTGTCTACCTACAGAGATGCACGGAGCTGAACATTTACAAACAACACATATCAGTTGTGATCTTGAATATTTTTTGCCATCCGAAGTGCTTTGGTTTGTTTCACAATTTGAAATTCTACTTCATTTCATCGATTGTATGTTCAGTACACTGATATTGTACGGGGTATTTTATATTTTTTATTCTGTTAGTGGGCAGTCTCGACCCAATCTGATCAAGAAAACAGGTCAAATATTCATTTTTTAAACAGTTTTAACACTTTTCCAGTACCCTATAACAGCATTCTCATATACCGGTACATACAACAATGTCACTTCTTAATTGAAGGGCAAGGGTGGATAACTCTAACTACACTTCCTGACCTTGTATTTGTACGATTGACAGAACTTTGTAATATGCATATCAAGTTTAAGACAGAGGCAGAGAGTGTCTAAAATTAATTACTACGCTCAAATAAACGCATTCCAAACAGTTCAGATGAAATGTGATCATTTACTTAAACTCAAATAAGACAAATTCCAAACAGTTCTGATAAAATATGACTTGTGAACTGCGACTACATCAATAATTCAGCTTGTCAACGTAATAGCAATAATTTGTCTATACTTAATACATACTGGACAAAATAAGTTAGGGATATTGGTATTTTTTTGTTTGATATTTTATCAAGGTGTCAATGAATAAATGGATCATTATTCATAAATTCAAATTTTACATATATCCCTAACTATTTTGTCCAGTATCAGTATAATGTGTGCATTGTTTGCCATTATATAGAGGAGTAGATGAAGTATGAAAACACCAAGTGTAAACCTCCCCTGGTATAAAGCAGATATTAAAGACAATATACAAACACATGAAGGTGAGAAATCCTTGTTCAAATGTGCCCATGGATATACCAAATGTTGAACTGGACAAAACGTTGACTCAGATAAAATGAACTTGATGCAAGTCCATATACAAATCCTTCATATACAAGCTCTGCACACCCAGGCTAGACCCTTGATATTTGGAGAGAGCTACTTTACATAGGAGGCCAGACTCTTTGACAAGGAGGGCCATGGTGTTGTTGATGTTGTGTGTTGATCGTGTAAACAGCCATGTTGAGAGTCTGAGGGGCACCTGCCAGTGAGGATGGGATACCAACACAGCAGGTCACATGTACCTATGATTTATATATAAAAAGAATCGTGCATTCGTCATGTGGGTAATTATTTTTCTATTTTACTTACCTGAACACTGCAGGATTTATTGTTTGGTGTAATTTCCGTATGTAGGATTATTTTTCCGTTAAATGTAACATATGTGACAGCTTTTAGTGATGTTAGTGAGTGCTGTATACTGTGTGTAGTATGTAGAGGTGCACCTAAGTACTACCTGTAATAAGGTAGAGAACACCCGATTCTCATAAAGAACACCTATTTTATTCTTATTGTTATGATTGATCTGTCATGTCATGGCATGACATGTTAACTATAGTAATCTGAAGTGTCAAGTGTTCTATCTCATTGGTTGTGTAAGTGGCTACTGTTTTAAACGGTGATTAATTACCAAGCCTGTTTTGTGGGTAGGATAGTACCTGCTCTACAATGTTATGCTAATGATGATAGATTGGTCAGTTTACTGACACACTGTCAAATATTGATATCATGTTTCTGGGATTATCTGAATTATTTTGTACAAAATGTTATATTTAAATTGTACAAAATAAAGTACCATAAAAAGTTCAGAGCTGGATTCTGTCAATTATGATCAGGACTGTATGTGACCAAATCCTTTCAGATTTATGACTGATTTTTTTTTAATTTTCCCTGCTTAAAAAATAAAATAAAATTTTCTGGGAGTTTTGCATGGTTACACCTTATACTTATTTCATGGGTCATTACTGGAAATATGAATGTCCTCTGATTTGATGAGAGGTGCAGTTTTTCTGTACTGTACAGTGTGATACTGGATTACAGAATGGTGGGCTTGGAGTACAATGTGATACAGAATGGTGGGCTTGGAGTACAATGTGATACAGAATGGTGGGCTAGGAGTACAATGTGATACAGAATGGTGGGCTAGAATGGTGGGGCTAGGAGTACAATGTGATACAGAATGGTGGGCTAGGAGTACAATGTGATACAGAATGGTGGGCTAGGAGTACAATGTGATACAGAATGGTGGGCTAGGAGTACAATGTGATACAGAATGGTGGGCTAGGAGTACAATGTGATACAGAATGGTGGGCTTGGAGTACAATGTGATACAGAATGGTGGGCTTGGAGTACTATGGAGATTATTAGGTCTTGGGACACAAGTTGTATACTTTCTCCATCTATTCTAGACATTTGTGTATTCTGGACACACATTTCTCAATCATTCAAAGCTTGATTCTGTGGTAGTATTGAAATCTAGAAGCCCCTAAATCTTTATATCTGACAT